CCATGGAGGGAGTAAAACTGGCAAGTCCAAGAATAACGAGTCCAAGTTTAAAACAGGAGTGGCTAACTGGAAGCAGGCTGCCACCAGAGATGACAAGAAGTCAACAGATAAAAGGGAGAAGAGATGCTATGCTTATTATAAAATGGGGCACATTATATAAGTCTATCATTAACAAGCAACTGCAGAAATCTCATCATAAAGCAGCTGGAGCTACCTTTAAGAAGCTAGGAAAGAGTGACTTTCGCCATGGATGCTGCTGCCAGAAGAAACCGAATAGAGACAACTCGTCAGATTCACCACAAGAAAGACGTGCTATTACCATGATTAAACAGTGCACAATTGATGGTCAGCTTAAGTTAGCAAATGGGTCAATGGTGCCAGTGGTAATTGGAACATTGAGAGGTGCCAACAAACCACAACATGCCAGTAGGTGAGAGCTATGTCAAAAGTAAAAGTCCTACAAGACACTGGGTACAGCAGTGAGAACCAGTCTAGTATCTGATGACCAAATTATGGGCAAGGTAAATTTGTGTGTATGCTGATTGATGGGACAGTAAGAACGTTTCCCATAGTAAGAATAAAGGTAGACACTCCATACTATGTGGGAGACTTTGAAGCCATGTGTATGAAGGCACCTATCTATGACTTGGTGATTGGCAATATATCAGGTAGTAGAAGTTTGGAGGAACCAGACAAAAAGGAGACTGAAACTGAATATAAAGAGAAGACAACCTTTGTGACACCAAATAAATACTACCAGTTAAAGAGGATGCTGTTTGAGTTAGTCAATTCAGCCTCGACGTTCAACCTCTAACATTGAGCATTATGTGGACAACATTCTGACCCATTCAGCTAGATAGGAAGAGCACCAGAAGAAATTTAGAGAGCTGTCTGGGTGAGTGAGGGCAGCAGGTCTGACCAACAGACCATCTAAGTGTTACATCAATTATTCTGTGCTAGACTTTATTGGACACAAGGTAGGTGACCAACAAATAGCCATGAAAGAGTAGAAGCTAACTTGCATACAAGATTCACTTACTATAACGACCAAGCAGTAGGTCAGGTCCTTGCTGGAATTAGCTATACTATAGGAAGCTCATCCCAAATTATGCTGAAGACCGCACCACTGACTGACTGACCAAGAAAGGTCAACACAACAAGGTGAATTTGGGAACAAGCACAACAGATGGCATTCCAGAAGTTCAAGAACATATTAAGAAGTTAGCCAATTCTTAGATGGCCAGACTTCAACAAACTTCGTTGATAAGGTCGATGCATCAGATGTTGGAAATGGACAAGTACTTCTGCAAGAACATGTAGATGGACTTTTTCCTGTAATGTACACCAGTAAAAAGCTGTTGAGTAATGAGAAGAACTCTTCTGTGATTGAATGAGAGTGTCTAGCCATCATATTTGCCATCCAAAAATTCCAGAACTACCTCTTTGGGAAGGAGTTAATCAGTCAATGGTACAAAATCGACAGTGCGAGGATCATGAGGTGGGCATTTTATCTCCAGAACTACTGGTTCCACATTGAAGCTATCAAGAAGACTGCAAATATTGGTACAGACTGTAGGAGTAGACTTTGTGCATGAACTGAAAACAGTCTTTGTATATAGTATAAAGATATGGTAAATATTTTTCTTGTAGAGGGTCTTTTTGTTAGATATACACGACTGTAAATTTAATGCGAGAATTGATTTAGATAGTTTAAGTTTAGTGCAAGTGGCGAATTCTAATTATCTTTAGAGGTGATAGTTTATCACAGGTTTGTTTACATTACTGTTTTCGAACCATATGTTGTGTAGTTCAATCTTGTGAATTGGTTACTGTTGTTATTGCGTTATGTTACTAGAATCTTCTAAATTTTTCTTATTGTTTTAATTCAGTATTAAAGCGCCACAATATCTCGTAACGTAGGGAACATTCTAGTCCTCTGTTGGTCTATAAATATGCATCCAAAATAATTTTCGATATAGGTGGGTATATCTAGACAGAGCGATTATAAATTTAGTCATAAAAAGCATATAGTGGTGATTTTTAAAGGGAAATTATCACATATTATATTGTGATAATAGAGTAGAGAATAATAATTTGTCTTGTCAATTATGTTCTAAAGTAATTGAACCGTCTGTGTAGACTTTGATAAAAAGAGACAAATATTTATATTTAAAGTTCTGGATACAATTGTGGAAACCAATAGTGGACATTGACGAGAAAAGATACAATAATTTAAAATTCTGAATATAACTGACAACCAACAATGTAACGAACATTCGTATATACGTTTGACTTGTTTTAATATATTTTAAAATAATTGGACTGTGCTACTGTTTGTTTATTGTTTAACTATAATGCCAAAACGTCAGACACCTACTGTAAAGAATCTGGCCCATCCACAAAAACTGCTACCAACTTATGAATCGAGTCATGTGTAATTGGCTGATAGAATTTTAAATTTATATATATATATATATAGACATTATTATATACTAGTAATTTTTCTGGGAAGTACTGCACGGGAAAAGTGTTCGGATTGTGCTAATATAAGTGTAATGTTTTATATATTAAAAGTGGTACCCTTTATTGAAAAAAATAGGTTTTTGTTTCTTTTTTTTTTAAGAAATATATTTACAAATTACATCTGTAAAGATATAATCAAACCCTCATGTAAAGTTCCAGTAAAAGTCCCGTTCTTGTTGTGATGAGAGTACTTTTGTTTAAAATTGTGTTCTGTGATAAAGAAATGGTTGTTGCACATACCACAGTTATTTTTCTAATTGTGTAAATCTTGAATACCTAAAGTGTAAATTTTTATGGATTTTTGTTTGTGGTGCTATTCAATAAATGGCGCCGTATTGTATTTATTATTTCGGTCATGTACATAGATACACGCTACGTCCATTATGATAAGATTCTTTTAATAATTGACAAGCATTTATCACTGAGCATCATCAGTGGAATTTCCTATCTTGTTTCTGCTTTCATGAAAAGCATTAACCTTCCTAGGTATCTCTTTTTTTTTTGAAGTGAGAGTATCTTTTCATCCTGAGTGTCATCCTTATTATATGTTTTTACACTTCTTTCATTCCATAGTCACTATTTCTCGCCTTTTATAATTAACTTATCGAGTACATTATTTCATACGTTCTCTACAATTTGGCATGATTCTAATAGAACCAGTTAGATAGGTTGTTTTAACTGGTCAGAAATTCTTACATGTTTGTACAAGAGCCATGATAGGGAACTGTATCAGGACTTGTTCCAGCATTAAACATCTTTGGCAGTTGGATCCCGACATTAACCTGATAAAATTATTTATTAATTATATTATTTATAGTAAGTATTTGTTTTTTAAGCACAAACCTACACAATGGGTTGTTTATGCTGTGCTCACAGTTATAAGTCCAGAGACTTACCGCGGAGCCACTGAGGGACTATAGTTAGTAATTCATTAAACTGTAATTAGTAAACATTATTTGTTGTGTGGTTCAAATATGTAGTTCTATGCACCAGTTGTATGACACCACTTTAATATTCAGTTTACTCCAAATAGGAATCTTACTTAAAATAAATACTAATGTTATAAACATTACTAATTAAACGATAATCACTAGATATGAAGAGCATCGAACTCCGACAGTGACGGTACTAGAGCAGTTTCATGATTAACTTGCTAGGACTATGAATTCAAGCATTCATGGTTCGCGTCCTTTTGTTACAAGCACACGTTCCGCAATTTGGGTTGTGGGTGATTGACAGTCAAAATCTACTATTTGATCAAACAAAAGAATTGCCCAATAGTCGGCGGAGGATGCTGTTGACTAGTTGCCTTCACTACAGCCTATCAGTCTAAAAGTAAGGAGGAGACGACTTCCCCATTAATGTTAAAACGGTTAGAATCAGGTGTGAGAAATGTATATCGTCATGTTATGCTGCCAGAAGGCATAAAGTTGTCTCGATGGTCATAATATTCGTGGTAAATTGCAAGTTCACGATACTAAACACCTGGTTTCGATACCAGTGGTGATAAAAGCAGAAATGGCCTTTTTTTGTAGTTTTGCGTTTAACAAAAGACAAGCTAATTTATTAAATATTACCCAGAAATGTGAAATGCTCCAGGTATTTGGTTTGCCAGAGTTCCTCCGACATGGTGCACCCAGTGGAGGCCATTATCTTGGGTGAGAGACTAAGGTCAAAGTTCAAATATGTCTAGTCTACCCTAAATAGTAATTAAAGATATAATGTTTCAGAAATTCGAAGTTTTTAAGAAATTCAAAATATCATATAAATCATTCTTTCTTCGCTGACTTATAAATTCTGTACTCGATTAATTGATTAATAACGTGCTTCTAAGTTGTACCTTTTTTGTTATTGTTTATTTAGGTTGTCGACTAAACGTGAAAAAAAAAATTATTTTTGGCAAAACATATAACTGACAGTAGAATATGAACAATATCCAATAACTGTTTATCTTTTACTCTTCTTTTTTTAATCGATTTTGAATTATCCTAAGCGATGAATATTCAATATTAGAATTTGTTGTTGTTTTCTAGATTCAAAATAAATTAAATAAATCAATGAGGCTTTAGCTACTGTGGCTTAAAACTGTACTAAAGAAACTCGACATATGAATTCAGCTTTTAACCATAAGAGGTTACTGATTTATTAATCAAATCTAAAAAGCGAGTGAGTCTCCTGTTTAAATTAATATACATATATGTATATCTATACCAGTAAGTAAAAAAAGAACAAAAATTACACAAAAACTTTTACAATTTTATTTCAACGTAAAATTTGTACTTTAAAAGCATTAGAGAACAATTTTTAGCCCAGTTACGCTGTATAACTTGTTTTGTATTGCAGACTATTTATTATTTTGTTCCCAAACTCGAAAGTATGTTTTGCCTTGTCCTCTCTATAAAGTACACATTAAACGTATAAATAACTTGCAAATTTACAAAAAAATCAAGATGTATATGAACAAGAACGTTTCTGACCTGTTTGTAAATTGTCCTACAAGGGTATTTGCTACGAGCTGGACAAAAGCTTTTGTAGCGAAAAATAAACCAATCTGTTCAGGCAAATCAAGTTGAGTGATGCCTTCTGATGACCGATTTTCTATATACGCTACTATTCCTACGAATATTCTTGAATTGTTTACAGTAGTCGCTGTGTCATTATCCAGGTCGTAACGTAAGCTATCTTTCTCCGTTTGATTACTTTTACCATGTTCAAGCTTGTAAAGATAGTCAGGAATAATTGGTACTGGAAAAAAGTTTAGATGTATAGTTTTATTAAAGTTTTTAAAAACTCAATAGATTACGAAATACAGTTACAAGTGTTATAAACTTATTAAATCTTATTACGCTATTTTTAAGAACTAAAAAATTATGTAAGTTAACTAAAAGTGATGAATTGTTTGATTAAATCATGAAATTATGAAATTACTTGCAAGTTTGTTTGTTTTTAATATTATTTGAAAAATATGCTACATAGCTTATTTCTCTATGAAACGTCGTCCTCAAGACAATTTTCTCAAAATATTGTATGCTCCAATGCTATCTTAAGTTCAAAACATAGAGTACTTCCTATCATATTTTCTAATAAAAACATATTAACCTTTCATTTGTCTTTAATTAATGTTTTCTTGTCATAGAAAAACAACTAAACATAATGTAGGTTTTAGGCCTATGAAAACTCTTTATTCTGATAATAATAACATTTCTGCATCATTTATTTCAAGAATATTTGTTAATGAGTATCTAATTGGTAGCAAAAGCAAAAAATATTTAGGTTATTACATTAACAAAAATTAAGGTCTATTGTATAGCTGTTATATCTTTATTTTTAGAATTTCTTTGCCTTTCACGTTACTTTTGCAATTGTATATAAAATATCATTTCATGGACCTTAGATACATAATGTCTAGATCATTCAATAACATGCATAGAAGTATCATGTAACAATTATACCAACAAAAAACTGAATCTGCTTACCAACTACAGTCAGCAGCACATTGTCCAGGAAAAGGGAAAAATACACGAGAGAAACAATAATTCTGCCAGAATGTTGAATTCTCCACACAATCGACTGTTCTTCACGCATTATAAACAAACTGAGGAACATGGTCTGTTAAAGATGCTGTTCTTTTACCAAGGTATTTACTAATCTAGATGCATGATATTGGCAATATAATGTTCTTATTTAAGATGTGAAATTAAGAACAAAGTTAAAAACATGCCCAATTTCAGCTTTACCGGAAGTTGGATTAATTAATATTTTCATGACATTCCAAAGAATAAAGAACATTACAAAAAAGCAAAATATTTTATTTACACTTCCACTTTTAGACTAAACTTCCATACATAAATCTGAAAACTTTAAAAGGTTTTTATGACATTTTTTAATCTAATCAAGTGTTATCCCTCAGTAGTTTTTAATATTTTATCATTACAAAATATAACCGAAAAGCGTTAAAAGTTGCATTAATTTATTGTTTATGCCTTAGCTTACCGTTTTTGGATTTTACAAATGGAATTCAGATTGCCTTTTTAACCAAACATATTGATTTTAGTTCACATATATGCTTGTTGGTTGTTATTTGCAGAAGAATATGTTTCTTAAATCTTCACAAAAGTTACTTTGTCAGATCACTATATGTAAATTCTTTAAATTAGTATTTCAAGTTAATACTGTACTCACTTGGTATAGAAATTTATGTATTCTATTTTGTTTTGAAAATGTTCAACCACACAAATTCCTGTCTTCACGAAACACAGAACCACTTGGTCAACAGAACCGCTGTAAAATAACCTTTAACTGATACCGTACCGTTGCAGTCACAAGTCTAGAAATTTACAGGCTCTCGTAAAATTGTTGATTATTTTACATTTATAAAACGAGTCACAAAATGTTAAGAACGAAAATAATTTCAAACTCTATCCTAACTATGAATGTAGAACTAAATCTTAACATGTCATTTCACTAATGTTTGGATCAAATGTTTTTAAGGATAGACGTTGATTAGCCGCAAGTATTTGCTAATTGTTTCTCTTGAAAAGACATAACAAGGATTTTATACGCAAGCTGCCCTCTAGCGGCTTTTATTGTGTTATATGTTATAAAATAGGTTTCTGCCCATCAATCTTGGAAATCTGCATCGAGCATCTTGAGCAAAATCCCCAAGCTAAGGAGAGTGGTATTTTCTCTCTGTCCGATATGTTTGCTTACTGAAAGGTAAGAGCTCATGTGCTGAGAAGATAAGAAACTCGTATTGTCTGTTAACGAGTACTGCAGAAGACTTGCGTAGAATTAAGCCTGACTAATCCTTTAACTACATGATCTTGGAAAACTGCTGTAACTCTAACAAAGGAACTCACTTTAGCAATGAAGAAGGTTAACAAAACTTCGTTCTTCTAAAATTGTCATATACAGTAAAAACAAAAGGTGTTTTAAAGCAAATAGCACACACTCAATACGCTAAAAACACATTTTTAGCCTTTAAAGTATTTAACAAAATAAAATGATAGAAATAAATCTACAAAATCCTCAACATAGTTTTATCATTCAAATACACAATTGACAACATTTACCACCTACATAGATATAGAAAAGTGTCTCATACACTTCGACATGGTGAATTATTGTCACTTTAGTAATTAAACTTTTCTTTAGAAACACAATCATTAAACAGAAACTGAAACAATGGAATTTGAAAGTATTGTGACATACATAGCATGCATAGATTCCTTTATACATACGAAATATTTTTTCATAAATTATAAGTTTCAATTCGTTTGCTTTTCTGATAAATTAAGAAATATTTTCATTTCGCTTTGTGATGTATCAGAATTTTATCATAAATTATTTTCAATACATTCAATCTTTGACAAACCGGAATTTATTGAACTCAATGTAATCACCCAAGCTTGGAACATAAAAATGTTAAAGAAAATTAGATAACTTTATTCTTCAATAAGTAAAAATTGTATTAAAATTCAGCATCGTTAAAGAGTTACAGAGCCCCCCAATGGCACAGCGGTATGTCTGCGGACTTACAACGCGAGACCCGGGTTTCGATACGCGTGGTGGGCAGAGCACAGATAGCCCATTGTGTAGCTTTGTGCTTAATTATAAACAAACAAACAAAAGAGTTACAGAAACATCATTAGTGGCTAGAAGTTACCGATACAGATCTTTATTATTGATAAACATTTCATTTCCAAGTTTTAAATCAATTCTACAATACACTTGCACATCTATAATGTGGCGTAACATGTATCTTATGGCTAAGTGTATATTAGTCGCTATACACTTTACAAACTTTCACAGTTACATTTATATTTTAGTTAGATAGGATGGTGATTGGCCTGTTAACTGCAATAGCTTATATAATAATAGCGTAATTAAATAGCGCTCGTGATATGGCAGTGTTTACTTTGTAGTTAAATCCTGGCAGGTTTGAGGTTTCATACTTTCTATCAGCATAACAAGTCAGAATGCCAAAAAACTGCCCTGGTTAAGGCTTGAACCTAAAAGCTTCGGCTCTTACTAGGGGTTTCATATTGGGCAAGCATATCTCTAATTCCAAGCAGATATCTCCTCATCTGACAGTTATAAAGTTTGGTAAACGGGAATATCGGTTAGAATTTTCTTTTTTTCTGAGAGGTTTCATAAATATTTTGATAACTAAACTATGTTAATAAATTAATTAATGGCGTGAGGAAACATACAAACCTCAATAAAATTAATTTAAGTTTATGATATCTAAATACCATGAGATAAATCCCTGTATAACATAAACATTGAATTACGTAATTCGTACATTTTTGTTTTTAATTTCGGTACATCCAGCCTTGGAAACGATCTCACACATACATACATACAGTCATAGGCTAAGCCAAAAGTGTACTGTTGTCGCACTAAGTTAACTTGCTAGATAATACTTTGAGTGGGTTGTAACAAAGTTCTAACATATTAATCAGATGTGTACAGATAAAGGTGCTGAAGACTCGATTCTGTTTGTTGTTAAGGAGCATTGCTTGAAAACATAGCTGACTTGGCATTGTGGAAGTTATCGCAAAGCTTAGTAAACCTTTAAACAAGCTAGAGAGCTAAAAATTCACCTTGCAGTTTCTAGTGCATTTGCCTTATTTATTATTTTAATACAACAAGCGATACTGAAAGTGAATAGTGATCAAATAGAGATCATGAGCCAATGCCTTTTCTTAGTTTGTAATGAATCTGTTGCTTTTGTTTTACTGAAAATGTGATGTTCGTCTGGATGGAGTCAATATTATTTATACTTTGCATTTCAGATCTTACTAAACTTAGTGTTAATTTGGTTTGATATCTTAAAATGTGAAATATGCTCATCCAAAGTTGCGGTGGGCAAACCCTATACGGTAGAAAATTCTGTTATATCGTGTTATGTATGTCGGGTGAAATATCATATCAATTTTGAGGATTTCAGTATTCTTGCGATCAGAAATGGAAATGTACAAAGTGTAATACTAATCGCCGTATATCTTTCTCACACATGGCGACCGTCATGGACACAAATGTCGACGGAATTAATCACATTAATTCTCAGGCTCAAGTACAAGATTAAGTAAGTGACTTATTAAATAATGTGCGTACATTAATAAATCAAGATAGTAATTGGCTATCTTTTCTAGAGGAATTTGCTAATTAAATTGGAACTTGTTTTAAAAGAAAATATTCAATTAAAGGAGGAAGTAAAACTTTGTCGTAATGAAATACAGGAATACATTCAGGAGTTGATTGTTTTACATGGTACAAATTTAGCAGTTTCAGCGTCATCAAGAAACCGTGTTTTGGAAGTTATTCCTCGAAAGTTCCTAGTTTAGGGTCTTATGCTGCTGCTGTTAATACTATTTAAATCGACAGATCGAATAATGTTGTATTCAAGAAGGACAGAATTAGTATCGAAGATAATACCCATTATGAGAACCCTGCATACTCTGCCATTGATGGTACAATGTAATGGTGTAAAACAGAAGAAAACAATCGCGTCAACTACGCATTGTCACTCGTAGCATTAAAATGAGTGATAGCGAAGATACATTAAAATCGGCATATAGTGGTAGGAAAAGACTGTATATTGGTCGATGTGCTCTGAACACAACTGATACAGATATTGAGATATTTTTGAAAAAGAACAGTTTCAATGCTAAAAATTGTAAGAAGCTGAGCTCAGAAAGAATGACTACGTCAACGTCCTACTGTGTGGAGAATGAATGGTTATCATTAATAGCATCAAAATTTTTCTCACCGGAGCTTTGGTCTGCGTATTTAATTGTTAGAAATTATTTTCAGAGTAGAGAGGAGTCTATACATAGGATAGACAATGAACCATAGGCTTAAATTGTTATGTTTAAATGTCAGAAGTATTAGGAATAAGATTGATGATATATTAACTCAATCTTGTTGTTGTTGTTGTGATATCTTAATATTCCTTGAGTCATGGTGTTGTGATAAAAAGCCCCTACCCCCATTATTAATCTATAATATCGATATTTTTGGCAGGCTCTCTGGGCATGGAGGCGGCACTGTCATTTATTCTCATACTGGCTTAAACTATAGCCCCTCAGTGGCACAGCGGTATGTCTGTAGACTTACAACGCTAGAATCCGGGTTTCGATACCCGTGGTGGGCAGAGCACAGATAGCCCATTGTGTAGCTTTGTGCTTAATTACAAACAAAACAAGCTTAAAGTATAAGTTTAATATTAACTCCGTTATTGAACTGATCATATTGATTTGTGTAGTTTTACTATTAATGAAATGTACACTTTTTATTGTATTTATCGCCCACCTTCTGAAAACTGGTACGAATTTATAGATACACTAGTAGACAATATAAATTATGATAAATCCGTGTTTTTGTGGCTATTTTAATGTGAACTATTTTCAAAATTACCCAAACAATTATAGATCGAAATTGTGTCTTTGAATTAAATAATTTATGTCTGTTATAAATGCTAAACTATATATTTATCAACCTACTGGGGTAATTGGTGCAGCTGTGTCTACAATTGATAACATTTTTACAAACTTAGGTGATGTTGTTTCTGATGTAACATCTCAGATCATTATATGTATTTTTTTCCATGGTTGTCTCTGGTATTCCCAGTGGCGTAGCAAGGGT